CTGCTGCGACGTGATCCATTGGGGCCGAGCTGAGGCCGGGTGTCGCCACCCCAAAGGCAGCTTCACATTTTGGCGTGTGTTGCATAAAATGCCGCACACGGCTGCGCTGCCGTCTTGCTATTTACAGATACAAAAGATGCAACCCCTACATAGCTGAGAGGCTTGCGTTTAATTTGGATATTTCATTACGATCAAGAAGAAATCAGAGACCCAAAAGCGACGTCTGGGCGGGACTATGGGGAAAACTTTCAAAGAAAGTCGACTGCTGTATGCTCTCAGACTTGACTTAGACAGGTGCTGCTTACTTTAGACAGGACTAACTTTAAGGACTCGATCTAGTCATGTCTGTCTAAAGTTGCCAGAGACTGTCAAATATATGCTCTTCTAAATCTATATCATAAGCATATCATTCCGTATAGGGTTAAGTTTCTAATGACAGTTCACTGATGGGTATAGGGTATCTAACAGTCGGCTACACACTTGCTAATGACTCTTACAACTGTTAAATAAAAATTAAACCAAAATGTAACCTTGTTCTATTTACGACACACTCATTTTAATAGAGTATTGCATGGATGCAAGTTCTGTAAGGAATTCGTTATGGCCAACCAGTTAGGGTATAATTAGAGTAGCTGCTGCGGCGGCTGCTCAATTTGATTAGGTTTTCAAAATCAATTCCCAAAGTCAATTCTTATTTGTTTTACCGCCTTTGTGAGAAAATAAACACGGACCATCCGCAGACGCTGCAGCCCGATCTCGGTTGCTGGTTATTCGAACTGAGAGCTGGCACTGTGAAGGTGGAAGGGGCACGAAAAACTGGGGGGGGGGGGGGGGGGAACTGAGACTGGGCCTTTCTTTCATTGCGTCTCGCCTTTGTTTGTTATCACTTGGAGTTTGAGTATTTTTTACGAATTGATTAAGGCGACGTTTGTTTACAAGCAGGTAAACAGAAAGTGCTGCAAGTGGGAGAGAGAAAGAAAGAGAGAGAGTGGGGGAGAGCGCGGCAAGGCAATAGATAGAGCGAGCGAGCGAGAGAGCCGGCAAACTTTGCGTTTAAATGCTTTTACAGTTGAATTGCAAACATGTTCTGGACGCTCGTAAAGTCAACTGCGTCTCCGCCGCCGGCTCCGTCTCTGCCTCGTCTCGTCTCTGTGCTCATTAAGCAAAGCATGACGAATAACTGCAGCGTCAACGTCGACGTCGACGTTAGCACACCTGACAATTTGTTAATGAGAGCAACAGGTTCAGCGACGCGGCAGGAAGCGAAGCGATAAAACCAAAAACCAAAGCAAGCGCAACCGGGCTGCCATGATACGGCACGGATGTCCTGCTAAAGTGTATCCAAACCAGAACCAGATCCGCAGTCAAAGGTAAAAAAATATGTAAATAATGCAAAACATTTTCTCACCACGTTCCGCTGGCGGCGCACTTTTTAGGCTTCCCCCCGTTGCCGGATGGGGAAGGGCCACGGTCGAAGCTTGCATGGGAAATGATATGTAAAAAATGCAACAAAAAAAAAAACAAAGAGAAAAACGCGAGAAAAACTATGCACAACTAATGTGTGTGAAGATCTGTGTGCTTTCTATGCGAGGTGGTTTTTTTTTTTTTTTTTTTGTGCCGCGGCATGACATGGCCAAATATCAGGCATATATATACATATATATATATATCTTGAACCAAAACAACATATGGTCAAGTCGGGAGATGACCTTTTTACCGCGTCCACACACACACACACATATATACTTGGGCCAGCCCATTTGTAGTGAAATTTAATCAAGCGTTTAATGCCAAGGTGGAACGTCGAGGAATATAATACACAACACGGGCTGGCAGGGCGAGGGCGTTTTGTGACTCGTTTCTACTGAATGCTGATGCTGTACCAGAAACAGAAACCAGACGCTGTCTGGCCAGATCTCCACCATGTTGAGCCTGGGTCTGTGCCAGCTTGATGCCTGTCAGTTGTCTGTCTCTCACCTAGCGAGGCTGGTTAATGACATTCTGAGTTAATTGCTGCTGCTGCCATATGGGCCAGGGTCGTAGCCGGGCTCGGGTCCGGCTAGTACGGTAAATAAATATGACATTTCCCTGCCGGGCAACGTAATTTGACTAATGCCGAGCCTGGCAAACCGATCAAATTGGGGGGGAGGGGGTCGGACCTTGCTGCCTCGCCAGCTGATCGATTCCCGTTGATCCGTTAACATCGGATCGGACTTTAAGTAAGAAGTTTGTTTTTGAAACATGAGAACTTCGGTTAGTTGGACGTGCTTCAATTTACCTGACAAACTCAGCATTTACCTTGTAAGTGATAACCTTTTTTTTTTTTTGTTTTCAAATCGAATGGAAAAAAATAACACAACTTTCTAAATGCAATTCAAGCGTGTAATAAAACGTAACCCAAATCGTTTATCGAAAATTGAGTCGAAAGTAATTTAATTTTTTCAAATCAATTTCGATTAAGTAAAAATCTATAGATATAGATCGAGCAGTGCTTGTTTAAGGGCTTTCCCACAAAGTCTAAGTGCTTATAAAAAGTATTTCTTAAAATAGTATTCCGTCCTCTTCTAGATTTCGAATCGGATTCGGGTACATTTCGTTCCGTTTCCGTTTTTCTTGTTTTTTCGTGAATTCGAATCAATTTCGAATCATTTTCATTTCAACTGTTTCTAGCTGTTTCTTGGAATAGAATAGAAGACAAACTTGAAAACGATTTTCCAATTTAATAATCAAAATTAATAACAATGAAAACAATTTAGTAACAATTCGCTTGATGTTAAGAAACATATAGATTTCCGACAACGATGCGAAATGTAGAACAGCAAATACATTTGATTCCGAATCAGAATTTTCTAGATTTCGGAATCGAAAGAAAAGTTCAGCAAACAATTCGATTTCAGAAAAGTTTAATCGGAATCAAAAGACAAATTCCCCAATCCGTTTCGATTTCGAAAATGTTGATCGCATTCAAAATACATTACAATTCCGAAAAGTTTTCGATTGATATCGAAATCTAGAATACGCAATAATAGTTATATTTTCTTTTAAGTGTAAGCTTATTGTCATTGCCGGGGCAAAGTATTTCCGGAACCAATTTATTTTCTTCAAATAATAGACATAAGTTTTCTAGTTTTTAATTATGCTATATTAAATTTTGAATTTGCAGATTGGAAAATTAAGCAAAATACAACTCAAAAACTTTTTTCAGTGACTTCGAATAAACTTTGGTCGCAGTCAAAGCGTAGCTTATCTCTTTAACAGAGCATGTTACATAATTTGAAAATGTTAACAAGGGAAACTGTTGGGATTATTACAAGATAATGCCTTGACTCATTTGGCGCGCTTTTTTCGATATTTGTTTTTTTTTCTGTTTAGCAGCAGCTAGTTACAGGTAATGTCCTAGGGGCAACAATAGCTGCGGCAACGGCAGCAAGTGGGCAGGTACGCTGCGGCAGCAGGCGAAGGTAGGAGCAGAGGCGCTGCGTAGGACGCAAAAAAAGAAAAAGAAAAAAAAAAAAAAACAATATATATTGGCAGCAAACCAGTTTTTATAATGTCAATTCGAATCCTACACGTTCGCGTCCATGTCCAATCCACACGCATTAAGCGCGACAGTCGCAAGTCGCGACGCGTCCAAATAATGACGACAATGCCAGCGCGGGCAGCGGGCAGCGGGCAGCGGGCAGCGGGACGTCGGCAGCGACGGCGACGATTGGTTGGCGTTGAATTTGATTTTGATTTCACCTGAGTGGTTGTACCTTAGCCTGTTGCCTTTTTGCCTGTTGTCAACCAACGCAACTGCATTGCGACCTACGATTTTCGACTTCTGCTTCTTCTCCTTGTTGTTGTCGTTGTTGTTGTTGTTGTTGCCTTTGTAATTGATGATGTTTACGTTTGGGTTGCCGTTGCCGCGTTTTGTCGACGCAGTTGATTTAAAGATTATGCACCTATTGTGCGTGGGTTTTCGTAGAGTGCCCGTGACCGGCATATTAATTCGGAGGTCTTCATAATTTCTAATGTGTTTATCAAATGGCTTATGCTTGAGCTGCAAGGGGATATGCACACACTGAGCAAATCATTTAAATAATGCTTAATAATGTTTGCACATTTGCATATATATTTGTGCATTTTATGTCAATCGAACTATTATTAAAGATTCGTTTGAAAAGGAAGCAAATCAACTTAATATGCTTAACTACATATAAATACTTAAATCTCTTTATCCTGATGGACTGATTGACTGACTGATTGACTGATTGACTGACTGACTGACTTATGAAGGCGCATGTTGACTCGCGCTTTTGGGAAATTCCACCTGCAATTGTGGAATAAGCGCGAAAACTCTTTTGTTTGGTATTGGTTTCGGGTAAAAAATATCACTTATAAGGAAAATGAAAAGAATTACTTGCTATAAGTTTTGTAATATTTATTGACCGTCAATAACAAGCGTCAATTCAATATTGATTAAAATAATTGTGCACTACAATATTTTCTAGTTGAGAATATTACATTAAATGTTATTTAAATGTCTTACGAGCACTATAAAAATAACGAATCGATAGCGTAAAAAGCATATTCAACTTTATTATTATTTGAATTTCTGTTGCGCGGTTCTTTTAAATCACCCGCGTTACGGAAAATTTATAAGGTTGCCAGACTGCATTAAGACCACATAGAAAGGTGAGCTAGGTTTTTTCACCTCAACCTATGTTAACAGGGTGGACCTAAAAGAATTGTTCTTTGATGTTTAATGCTTAATTCATAAATATTTATTACCACATGCAAGTTCTCTTAAGCACATCTTGCTTAAAAGGATATACATTAATTTAACTGACTAAAATATAGCTTAAAAAAGTGCTACCAGACTGTTAAAATCAGTTCAATGTTTACGTTTCAGCAGATGTTCAACATCTTTGTTGTAAATTCAGCGCTGCCACCTTACAGGAACAGTCTCATTCACAATAGGCGAGCCCGTGGTACTCTAGTTCCGACACGGCGAGCCGGTTCAGTTGCCACCAGTTCTTTGCCAATCAATTTACGGGCCGTGTTTGTTTTAAGTTAAAATAAGTGAACAAATAGCAATATTAAATAAATTCTACTATAAAATTAATGTGCACAACTATCGACTGAGCTTCTAGCGAACGTGGGAATCAAATATTGGATATGTCTCAAGCCGTAATATAAAATTGTGTGCAAAAATTCGGCTGTGCGGTGCTGTGATTGGAGGGGTTTGTACCTAAATGAATACACGATATGTATGCGGGTGTGTGTGTGTGTGTGTGAGTGTGTGTGTGTGAGTGTGTGTGTGCGTACGCTAGTATGCCCATCGGTTGAGGTGGGCGTGGGGGCGTATGGGAGCGTGGGAGGAGGCAATGATAGCAACGGCAGCCACTGAGCAATGCAAATCCTTTGTAAAAATACTCAACAAAGAATCAATTTCTTAATTGTGAGGCGGTGGCACTTGTCGCGACAAGTTGCCTACCGTATGCATGTGTGTGTGTGTGTGTGGTAAGGTCGCCCAGTTGAAAGTGTCAAGGAATTTTACAACAACGTCGACGGCGGCGGCAGGCAAAGGCACTCACGAGCAAGGTAAAACCTTCGCCCGAGACCGAGCCCCAAGCCTCGAGCCATACCGCGCCCAATGCGCGCTCTGCATTAAACGTGACCATATATATACGTGTGTGTGTGTGTGTGTGTGTGTGTGTGTATGTCCTGGCCAGGACCTGATCCTGCCGTCTGTGAGAGCTGTGAGTGCATTCCAAATTGTTGCATTTGCCAACCTCTCAAGTTATACGTAAACGCAGTCCCGGATATCCAGAACCTGTGAGAATTTTTATGGCATTGCTTACAATGTTACGATTACAATTTTTTTTTTTTTTTTTGGCATTTTTACACGAACTTCGCTACGCGCCTGCGCTTTGAGCTACCCCCCCAATCCCACCCCGCTCTCCCGCTCTCTCTCTCTCTCTCTCTTTTGCACTCTCACTCTCGTAGTTTTGGAGTACCATCCAAAAAAGTGTGTTTCGACTTCAAGTGTGCTCTGGCCCATAATAAAACCACAACTATTATAAGCTTAAAAAAAAGAAAAAAAAAAACAGAAAAATATGAGAAGAAAGATGAAAAACTTGTCCAGCATTTAGCAGCTATTGTTACGAACCATGCTGGACAGTGTAGAGTGGCAGAATGCCTTGTTTACATTTTGTGGACGAGCAAAAGAAAGCGTTTCCGTTGCAAAATTCAAATCGTTAACTGTCAGTTAAAGTTCCTTTGGCCGTAGGAACACTTTTCGGGATCTGTAATTGATTTGGGTTTTTGTGGGCACCTGTGATTGACACATCGGCAGGACCTGATGAATGCCCATTTTGATTTCCGTTTACTTTGTTTCCTGCGCCTTGTTTACTTACATTGCCAACTTTTCTCTGTGTCATTTTTCAGTTACATGCGACGCGATGAATCTTTAACAACAGCAACAACAACAACAACAACGTAGCAAACAACAACAAAACACACACAGACACACAGACACACGCACAACTCGAAGGACTCGAAGTTCATTGAAGTTTTTGTTGGACTCAACTGTTGTTTGACCAGCAGCATTAGGAGCTAAGGCCGGAGTCGGGAGACGGGAGCCGCAGCCGTGGTGCAGCTCATCAATATTCGAAAAAGCAATTGAGCCAGGCGGGCGCACCCATTAATTCATCAATTATTCAAAATGACCGAAGACGAAATTCTCTTTGACGATGTCTACGAGCTGTGCGAGGTTATTGGCAAGTGAGTTTCCATTTGTGCCCCATACTTCTGCGCCCCTAGTCGCTGTGGCTGCCACAGCTCATTATGTGTTGCACGCACTAAATCATCTGTCGACGCCCGACATTTGCTGACTTGGCCAACAGCAGCCTGCCCCGACAGTTGGCCAAACAAGTTTCGGGTGCCGACTCTTACATTATGCATTAATATATTTATGTGCAGAATTTTCGCTAGTTTTGACACGAATATGTAAGCTTCGCGCAGCTCTAGTTGGCAAATTTGCCAGACTTTGGCCCGTTAAGGTCAGAAAGGACATTCGCAATCAGTTTATAACTTTTACTAAACATTTATTACTTTTTACATTCCATACATGCGATTTCAACACTTCGCAGAGGACCCTTCTCCATTGTGCGGCGCTGCATACATCGAGAGTCCAATCAGCAGTTCGCTGTCAAAATTGTTGATGTGGCCAAGTTTACGGCTAGCCCGGGACTGAGCACAGCGGGTGAGTTACGGCAAGCACCTTGCCCCGCAGCACTTTGAGCGAATAAATTATAATTAAGCTGCGCGCAAATAATATACAAAATGTGCGGTAACAACGGCAGAAAATTAAGAACGTGCCGTTCGCATTGTACGCGACAGGGTATTAGTCCACGAGGCCAATTAAAAAGAAATTGCTCAAATGAGCTGGCGTCTGGACCTCGGATATTGACTAAATGATATATGGCTGGCACATAAGTCAGCCCTAAATCCATTAGAGCTGCCGGCCAGCTGGTGTCAGACAAGGGCGCCGGGTGCCGGGCGCCTTTTGGGGGGAGGGGCGGCCATACAAATGTTACTTATTCTAATATCAACTAATTGCGCGCCATTACAGATCTGAAACGCGAAGCCACAATATGTCACATGCTGAAGCATCCGCACATAGTCGAGCTGCTGGAGACCTACAGTTCCGAGGGCATGCTCTACATGGTCTTCGAGTTGTAAGTAGTACACACACAACTTTCTATACATATATATATATATATATATATATACATTCGAATGTGGGCCACTTAAATATTTCATTTTGTCTTGCTTGCAGCATGGAAGGCTCCGATTTGTGCTTTGAGGTTGTGCGGCGTGCCGTCGCAGGATTTGTCTACAGCGAGGCGGTGGCTTGGTGAGCATCGACACATCGACCCATAATTATAGTATTATAACAGAAGTTCTTACTTCAAATCCCAAGTGATCTGATGCTATATCAGGGCAATCAATTAATATTTAATGAGAATACTTAGGGTAAATGAATGAGGCAACATTTCGAATTTAATTACACTATGCAACAGAATTCCGTTTCTTGTTAACGCTCAAAAGATTTGGAATCTTTAATAATGAAATGTAGCTTTTCAATGTAAATACTTTTGTAAAATTCAAAGGCAATAGATATTGTAACAAATATTATTTCAAGCATAATTATATTAGAGGTCCCAAATCTAAGAATATCACCTTAGTATCAATAGATATCAATATGCTGTTGCATAGTGTTATTAACTGTGTTTCAATGCCAGCAGAGGCAGCTTTTTAAATGCAACGTTCCAAACAATTCCACATAAATATTTTAATCAGATTGGAATGTTTTTAATATTAACTACGCTGGCATTGAAAAACCGCTTCAAATTCTTTTGGATAGCTTGCAAGATTGTCGTGTATCTCGAAAATAACCTTTTAGTTATTTATAGTTATTTCACACACTCAGAAAAATTAATGCTAGGAATTACAATAGATTCGAGTTAAACAAACAAAACAATATGTCAGCTATCTTAGAAGTTTATATTTTGTGGAAATTCTTTTTTCTATATGTAAGTTACAACTAAGTTAAGCTATGTCCAAGATTTGAATTTGTTTATCTATTATTTAGATATAATTTTTTAAAGCTGAACTGCATAAGTTACATTTCCCTATACTTTATTATTCTATATAGTTTTGATTAAGTTAAAGCTAAACATTTGCTAAAAAAAACAGTCAGCTATCTGTAAGCCAACCAATTAGGTTGCTTTTATAAGTGTTGCATGATTTAATTAATTTTTGTATTGTTATTGCCAACAGCCATTATATGCGCCAAATACTGGAGGCACTGCGTTACTGCCATGAGAACGATATACTGCATAGGGATGTGCGGCCCGCTTGTGCACTTTTGGCGACAGTGGACAACTCGGCGCCAGTGAAACTTGGCGGCTTCGGTTCGGCAATACAATTGCCGGGCACGCGGGAAACCATAGAAACACACGGACGCGTGGGCTGTCCGCACTACATGGCGCCAGAGGTGGTCACAAGGCGTCTCTATGGCAAAGGCTGCGACGTTTGGGGTGCTGGTGTCATGCTGCACGTTCTGCTCTCGGGTAGGCTGCCCTTTTTGGGTTCCGGTGTGCGACTGCAGCAGTCTATAGCACGCGGAAGGCTATCGGTAAGTGGACAAATGATTAAAAATATATAAAATATAATAATAATAATGTTAAACAATTTTCATTTTCAGTTTGAAGCACCTGAATGGAAGTCGATTTCGGCCAATGCCAAGGATCTAGTCATGAAAATGCTCGCTGCCAATCCACACCACAGACTATCGATAACCGAGGTGCTAGAACATCCCTGGATACGTGATCGCGACAAATTACAGCGCACGCATCTGGCGGATACCGTTGAGGAATTGAAGCGCTATAATGCGCGACGCAAGCTCAAGGGCGCCGTGCAGGCCATTGCCGGTGGCACCAACATGGATCCGGTCTATGCCACGGATGCGGATAGTAAGTCGGAAAATATGAAATCGTGTCGAGCAATTGCTTTAATTTTGTTTGCCGCTTTACAGTGCCAATTGCGGGCGCACCGGACGAATGGGCAGACGAGGAGGCGGGGATTGAGGCAGTGCAGCGCATACTGGACTGTCTGGATGACATCTATTCGCTGCAGGACGCGCACGTGGATGAGGACGTGCTGCGCGATATGCTGCGCGATGCTCGATTGCAACAATTTCTGCAGCTTTTCGATCGCATCAGCTCCTCGGTCATCACGACCAACGGCCGGGCGCCCAGCGCCGAGGCTGTTGCGCGCAGTCGCGATGTCCTGGAGCTGTTGTCATCGGCTAGTTCCGCTGGGGGCAATAAGTATGCCAAGGATGAGCTGATGCAGCTGCTCTCCGCGCCGCACTTGCAGGTAAGTGCATTTTTATTGTATTTATTCTGTATATGCATATTTACTTAGCATACATTTTTGTGGCTGTGTATTTTGTGGCAAGCTGTCAACTGAGGCACATGATTATCTACATTGTTGCACTGTATACTGTATGATTCATGTTAGCTACCGGCCATGCGCTCTTATCAATCTATGGTCCACTCTGTTGTTCGGTTTAACATAAGCCAAAGCAAATTTGAAATGTATTTAGTGCCAGCAAACAAATGCATAGGTAAATGGGCACGAACAGCCACCACCACCACCACGACCACCACCATAACTATTCGCTCTTGCAGAGCTGTCTCTGCTTGTCGCAGGCAGTCACTAATCCTGCACTGTGCACACACACTCCCAGGCATACAATGTACATACAATACACAGGCAAATAAACTGCGCCAGCTAATGCAACCAAAATACAAACAATTTAATCAGAATAAACCTAAATGAAATTCGGACGGTACGGCTGCTGCTGGCTGGACTGGACGGCCCTAAATCCTGTGCCAGTGCCCGTTCCTATAGCTTTCTCCCTCAGGGCTTTTTGCGCACGAAAGTATGCTACACAACTCAAGGGCCCATGTTGTTGTTGTCCTCAGCGGCAAGTGCCACACATTTGCAGCAGACCAACAGAAAAACATTTAACTACAGAGAAAAAGGTCGTATTTAGACCGTTTGCATCTCAACGATATTTAAATACACTCAAAATATTAACAATTAATTAAACATAAGAACTGTAGTTCGAAAGGCGTATAAGAAAATCCTTGCTATAGTTTCCGCTAAATAAGTTTTAGTTATTTGTCTCACAGTCGTATAACTGAGAATTGAATATTTTTTTTCTATAAAATTACTTTCAAACATTAAGCGTAGGCAGTAGCGAATTAATCTGCTCTAAATTTCAATTTGTGTCATTGTATTGAATAGTTAGCTGTTAGATGTACCCGTTTCTATGCAGAGTATGTAATTGTAAAGCTTTTTTTCAGCCTCTTTTGCCAAGCTCTGAGCCTGGCCGTATATTGATATCAACTTTATAACTCTGTGCCATTCACTGTCGTTAATTGCTCCTTGAAGCAGACTACACTTTTTTTCTGCTGGACGGCAGTGCTTTATTCTCGGCATACCCTCTATTTGCAGAGCACATAGAAAGGCATGCTAACAGCTTGACAGCATAACTTTCTGTGCTGAAAATTCACATGGGGATTAGCGCTCACTCCAATTTGTCGTATTAAAAATGTGTTGAAATAAGAAAGAAATTCGAATGCTTTCTCTTCGTGAAAATTGGGGTAAATATAGAGAAATGCAATTATATATGTGTTTATAAATATATCTTAAAATATATGAAATAGGGTGTTCTAAAATATTTGCTCCAGAATTTTTCAAGAATATATCTCAAGATTTATTTCCATAGCAGCCACTCAATACGAGCTAACTTGTCCTTCCAAAGGTCTTCTCTATTGAGATAATTATATTATATATAGAATTATGCATTCTTGCTAGTATTACACTTAAAGTTATCCCGTTTAATATTCCAAATCAGCTAAAAGGCTCAAATTGTTTAATTACTTTGGATATACATTTAAAAGATGGCATTTTTCTCTACGAAGTATCTCAGTTAACAGCTTAGTTGTTAGTAAGTAGTTAACAATTACAGGGTATTTGCCAGCCATGACTCGAAATGCGTTAGCTGTTGCGCTGGGCCGCGGTCAGTCCATCTGTCTATCTGGCTTTGGTTTGTGTGTGAAGCAAGCTGTGCTCGTGTGCCAGCGTCTCATTTTCATAAATTCATGGCAAAACAAGGAGAAGAACAAAAAAAAACAGAAGAAAAAAAAAATAGTATGATATAAATGGATAAAAATGACAGACGAGATGAAGAACTGCACAAAACGCAGGCCCAGCGAGCAGTGAGCGATTGTGTTAATGCTGCGTCCAGTCAGAGAGCAGATTGCACGACGTGTGTGCGTGTGTGTGTGTGTGTGTCTAGGGTGTTGGACGTCGGGTAGGCGTAAGTTGAAACAGAAAAAAAAAATAACAATAATTATTGTAAGGACCTCGGGCGCAGTCGAAACATCCGCTGCATAATCTCACTCTCACACTCTCATACTCTCACACTCTCTCAGCTCTCAGCGCGTTGGCGCTGCAAAGTGCAGCGAGAGCTGCTGCTGCTGCGGGGCAAATGCATATACGTGTGCATACACATTTATATGCATGTGTGTGTGTGTGCGTGCATGCGTGCGGGCGCGCGCGAATGTGTGTGTGTGTGTGTGTGTGTGCGTGTAACTGTATCAGTGTGTGCGTGTCACTATCCCAACCGAGCATTCGTGATTGACTTAAACAATAAAGCGCGCACAAATTTCAGTTTAGTTTGCGGCGCAGTCGCCGCGAGGGAACGACGACGACAACAACAACAACAAGAGCGCTGTTAGCCCGAGCCGCGTAGCGCCCCCAGTCGGATTTATTTGGCACTTGGCAAGTGACGTGTGAAAGAGGCGACTAACGAGCGATTTCGCGATAGTCTCTGCCTACCCCCCCTCCTGCCCACTGCTGCTCTGTGGCCCCTGGCCCCCAAAAGGGTTAGCAGCTGGTGCTAAACAAAGCTCTGGGAATAAGTGAGATAGTGAGGTGAAACCTTCGTCAAGTCAACTTAACTTTACTCGAGTCTATTTCTCAAGTGAGTCACTTTGCGCCGCGCACCTCTCGCTTGACCCAATTAACGGGACGCGGACGCGTATGCGAATCTGGATGTGGATGTGGATGTGGATGTGACTTGTCTCTGGAGTGTTTAGTGTCGTGTCAGTGTGCCAATTACGCGCGAATTTCCGCAGTAACCTCCAGCGCAGCAGAAGCACGTTGGCCCCGGGCAGAGGTGCACGCTCGAGCACGGGCACGGGCACGGGCACGGGTCGCGTTCGTAGCCAAGTTTATAGCCACGTGTTTGGCGTCGAAAGCCACATGGGAGCAATTGACAAAAAGGCAACCGCTGTCATTGGCGGCGTTCCGAACTCGAACACCCGCCATTTGGCGCCGGGACGGATACGGGGTCGACTGCGCCTATATAACTCAATTTAAATTCAAATGTGTGCCACAGTACGTAAATAAAAAGCAAACAAATTATAAAGCGGACGCCAATATCGAGCAAAGCAAACGAAATTAGCATAGAACTTTTGAATGGCGGACGAGGCCGTTGAGCAGGTGGAGAATGTTTGTTGTTGCTGCGACAGCACATCCATAATAACCGCAACAACAACAGCAACAACAACGGGAACAACAACAACAACAACGCCACAATACAGCGTCTTTCAATGGATCGGCCTGGAGACGGCCGAACTCTTGCCCCCGCACATAACGCGCTACTACAACAACCTTCATCTGCAGGTAAATTATTACGGCAGCAGGTGTAGACGTCTCTGCCAAAATTATGCTGCTCGCTAAAGACTTTTGCTGGCACAGTTAACAATAATAATAGAAATAAAAATAGTAAATGTTGAGCTGAACCAGTTTCTGGTTCATTTCACATTGCACATTTTATCACAATTTCTTTGAAATTTGAAATATATATTTGTTTAATTTTTCACTCTGGAACGTTGTCCATGAAATATGTGTTTTAAGTTGTTGTCAACTTTAAGGGTCGATGTATCCAAAATTAAGGACTTTATTCTAATTGATATCAATGTGATTGAAGCATTGAAAGTTGTTTGTGTGTTAATACTTATCTCTACATATATCTATAATCTATATAATTATCTATAATTTTCAATTGGTTGCATATTGTCAGAGATTCACGAAACTGCATTCGGAATCATTCGACTTTCACAATATATGTCGGAATAACTAAAATAGCTAAAGGTATTTAAGGCCTTAAGATAGCTATAAATGAATATTTACACTCAAGGACCTCTCTCTCTCTCTCTCTCTCTCTCTCTCTCTCTCTATATATATATATATATATATATATATATATATAAGCAATCAAACCAATTTATAAATACTCAAACTAAAAGCTGCTCTTAACTGGAATATGCCAATTATGCAACTGAAATACGCTAAGTAGAGTTTTTGGTTAGTGTCAGTTACCTGTTCGTAGCACTATTTTTTTTCCACTTAGTTACGAACATATCTAGATGCCAATATCAATTTGCAAATGGCCATTGAATTTGCATTTATTCTGGCTGCCGTCGTTGCTTTATTGCAATGCCCAATGTACCTTTGACTTGTTTGTGATTTGGCAAAGGTACACAAAGCAACACAGATAATCTATGTGCGAGTGTGCCTGTGTGTCTATGTGTGTATGTGTGTGTGTGTGTGTGTGTGTGTGTGTGTGAACTGCCTACGAAACGTGTCAACAAGCGTACAGGCTGCACCTGGCCAGAATTGGCCCGTACACAAGCCAACGTTATGGGCCACATTACGACCCTGTCCGGCCCACTGACACATTAAGCGTACCCCTTTTGGCCACACACACACACACACACACACACACAATTGTCGGACTGCTGCTGTTGCGGCCAGTAAATGTTGTTGGCACCTCGATGAAATGACAAATTCGTTGCCAAATTGCCCTTTGACCAAACGACTGCGACAGCTTTATGTTAATAGTTGATTGGCTGAAGTTCTCTCTCGCAGCTAGTATTACATGTGCTTTGGGCCTTGACCTACACTATTTGTGCCTTGACGATGCCCTGTTTACCCATACCCTGGCGTAGGCAGGCCTTGGCTCGAAATGCATTCCGAATCGCTGCAGCACTTGACGGGATTGTATAGCATGGCGTGCACACTTTATTGTGCATTAATTAAAAGCCTGTTATGTTGCGCATTAAACGTGACAGCATTTGTTGGGCACAGGCGCTGGCAAGGACCTGCTGTTGTCCTTGCAAATCAATCGATTGTCTGTCTCTGTGCAAACATTTCATAATTATTTGCCAGATTCCATAACTTATAAGCTGCCCAGTTTCGCCAGTTTCGCCAGTTTGGCCAGTTTGCCTACCTATCTG